CTCTCTCTCTCTCTCTCTCTCTCTCTCTCTCTCTCTCTCTCTCTCTCTCTCTCTCTCTCTGTGTGTTTCTATGAGATCTCTGAGAAAGAACATACCAGTTAACAGCCCCATCATTTCACCTTGTCTTCACCAATGTTGAATGGTGTCTCGGTTTGATTTTCACTGCTGTGATAAAGTACCCCAGCCAAAAGGCAATAGAGAGGAAGGTTCATTGACCTATGATTCTAGGTTATGGTCCATAACTGCAGAGAAACCAAGGCAGGAGCTTAAGCAGAGAAAGAGAGCCAAAAGCAGGCTGATGTCTGCTTTCCTAGGTTGTTCACATACTGCAAGCTTTCTTTATCCTTACACAGCTCAGGGCTCAGTCCACAAAATGAGGCCACCCACAACAGGCTGAGCGCTACACCAATTGACCATCAACATAATCCCAGACAGATATGCCCATCAGCCAGTGTGGTCTAGGTAATTTCTCAATTTTCTCAATTGATACTTTCCCCTGGTGATTCTAGGTTGTGTCCAACTGAGAGTTAACACACAACACAGATAGTGTGGTTATGAGTCACTGTTGGATACAGCCGTACAGTCTTCCTGTCCCTTGCCATGGAATATTCCACTGTGTGAATGCACACTGTGCTTTTCTTCCGCATGCTACCCTTGGTCTGTGCCTGCATTGCCACCAAGTTCAGAGATGTTCTAAACAATGCTGCCATGAATGTTTTTGTACCAAATGAGAACACGTTTGTGCAAGCCATGGGTGAGCAAATGTGAGCACACTGTCTGGTCTGCTCCCAGAAGTGGGACTGTTGCATTGCGGTGTATGTAAAGGTCAGCTTCTAGTCGATACTGCTGAAGAGTTTTCCAGAGTCATTGTGTCAATTTACAATCCCTCCAGCGGGGCAAGCAGTACCTACACCCTTGCCAACACTTAGTATTTTCTGACGTATCTACTTAGCCATCCTTGAAAGGGTAAAGTTTAGACTTCCTTTTTCATGTTTCGTGAGACTGAGGATGTTTTGTGGTTTTATTGTTCATTTGTGTGTCCCATCTGCCTCGGCCTTTGCTCGAGTGTCTTGCTTTTGAATCACCTAACTTGGAAGGAGTCTTCCCATGTTTGGGATTTGTGTTCGTGTCTACATCATTTGCACCTTGCTTCTTGTCTGTCTTTTTACTCTGACATGGCCTTGACAGCATCTCTGGGGTTTTATCTAATGCACGGGTTTCTCTCACGAGTCACTTTCTGTAACCTGTTCAAGAACTCTCCGTCTCCTCTGCAAACACGTTTTCTTAGACAGCACTCGGAATTTTAATCTTCCCGTCTACCTGTGCTCAGTCTACAGTTGGCTTTTGTGTATTATGTGTAGTAGAAGAGCAACATGTGTTTTTACCAATATGGACACACGACTGACCCAGAACTGACTGCTGACAAGACTGGATTCTCTCTGTTACATTGGCAGGTCATGTCACACAAAGGAATGCTATACAGCGATAAGCACAGACGCCTTGAAACTGCACCCAACAACATGGCTGATGCCCACAAGCATGGCACGGCATGGAAGCAGGCTTCACAGATGTGACTGCAAGCGACTGCTTGCGTCATGAAGCAGACACGTGTGCATGTCAAGCACGGTTGGAGCACTCCCTGCTCTGTCCCGTTGCTCTTTTTCCTCTGGTACAGGTACCACAATGTCTTAGTCACTAAAACTTTGAACCAGACCTTTGCACCTGGCAGTCTTGGGTCCTCAGTTTGGGTCTGCACTCAGGTCGTCTCTGTGACTCTTGATGACTCCCACTTGCTTCTAAGTTTTAGTTTTGGATAAACTAAACTGCTGGGTCTGATTGAGATGGCTCTTGTCTGCTTTTGGCCTTCCAAATTAATTTTCTTGTCCGGATTAAAGCATATCCCCTTGGAGTTTTGACTTGGATTTTATTAATACCATAATTTCACTGGTGACATGTGGAATCCTTTCTATTATTATTTTTATTTCACAGCTGTGAATATTGATTTCCCTGCCAGACTCTTGGCACTTTCGGGGAAGTTCCGTGTCACCATAACCGTTCATTTTCTGTATGGTTTTCGAGATTTTTGAGGCAGACAGAACTGAATATCTGCTTCATAAGTAGGTCTCACAGACTGCTGTCATACAACTTTGTGATTGTCTTCCCCTTAGCGATTCTGTGCTCGCCCTTATTTCCGACCCCATTATTTTACCCAGCGGAACGCCTGACAGAGTATAATCCTACAGAGGCTTCAGTCCACACTACCTGTTACCTCACCTGGCAAGGGTTTGGCTTTCTTCCTGTTTCCTTGGAGCTCTTCTGTCCAGCTGAAGCAACGAAGGCAAACCCAACAGTATTATATGCTTTTCCCATCACTGTGACCAATGCAACTTACGTGGGGAGGGTCTATTTTGGCTCACAGTTCAAGGGCATTATGGCGGGACAGCAGGGGCCCTATGGTGTTGCACTATTGACCAGGTAGCAGAGAGAGGTGACTGATTGCTCTCTTAGCCCACAGCTTTGGGGTGTGTCTTCTCACGTCAGCCAAGCCAGTCTAAGAACTCCCTCACAGGTATACCCAGAATCTTGTCTCCTTGGCGATTCTGGAGTCTGTCAGTTTGACAATTAAAATCCACCCTCACATAGGGTGCCTAAAATGTGTTCTCCTTGGGCTAAAGCTTTCTAACTATAGCAGTGACAGGTTCAAGCTGGGACGTGGCAGTAAGGTTGTTCCTGTCCAATGGGGAAGAAACAGCTGAAATGGGTTTTAACATATAGGTAAGAGTTCTCCAGGCAGCAGAGCCTAGGAGTTGGTGGCGGAGCTAAGGGAGCATTCTGAGGGAGAAAAGATGGCAGGAGAGGAGGGAGGCTCCCTGGGACCTGAGTCTGTGAGCAGTTTGGGGAGGCTGGGAGATGGGAATAAGACACAGGTGAAGCTGGTTCCATTAGCCTTAGACTGTGATTAGCTTTTAGAAGCATGTCAGCACTTTTTCCTCTTTATTGTCTGGGATGGTTTGTATATGCATCTGTTGTGATCCAATTTGTCTTTGAAAAATGTTCCCTATGCTGGGGTCCAAGCGTCCCTCCAAACTCACATTGAAATTAAACTGCCATTGCAGTAATATTAAGAGGTGAGACCTTCCAAGAGGTGAATAGATTCTGAGGATCCTGCCTCGTAAGTTGACCCTAGAAGGAAAAGCTGAGTTCTGTTGTCTCTTGTTCGTGCGTGTGTACCCGTCTCTGACTCAGCATGGAGGACCTCACCAGGGGTCTCATCAGCCACAACATCAAGCCAAACTTCTATTGTTTATAAATCACACAGCTTGTGGCACTCTGTTATAGCAACTGAAAATGGACGGAGCCACCCTGAGAGTACCAAGGAGGAATCTGGTCCTAATTAGATACTGCAAGAGCCTGGACAGAGAATACTGGAAACAGCGACAAGAAATCTAAGTTATCTTAGAGGTGATGAGCTGCATTTATGAGCATTCATCAGTGGAAAGGGTATCTTGGGTGTCTGGGTGTAGGTCATGAGATGTCACGGTGCCAAGCCCCCAGCTGCTCCCTCTGCATCCCTGGACTGCACAGATCAACTACTCTGTGAGCATCTCAAAGGAAGCTTTGATTGGCAGCTGGCAGGGGAAGCACCAGACACTGCCACTTCCTTCACCTCTACAGCATAGCTACAGATGGCCTCATGGTTTCATTTTGCAAGATTTGGAGTTTCCTCTGTTCCCTCTGTGTCTGCATATTTACCACTGCTCCTCTGGGTCATGAGAGAAGACATGATATTTCAGAAAATCAAACCCAACCCCAAGTTGTTCCTCCAAGTTTCTGTTCTGAAATCAGATCGTTTCGCCAGACTGGATTCGGGAGGAATCTTGAATCGATTAGTACAGACTACTTGTGTTGTAGATGAGGAGGGAGCGAGGACGAATTATTTGTTGGTCTTTTGTGGAATCATTGGCGCTAGCTGGGATGGTGCCCCGTGGAAGATGAGCAGGGTCTGCACCAGCCACCAGGCAGGGCTGAGCTCTGTTACTGACTAGCAGGGAGCGTGGCAGATGCTTATCTCTTGCCAAGTGCAAGTTTTCTTACTTACAAAGATGGGTTGTAAGAACTAGATGAAAAAAATCAGTGATGCCACATCTGATCCTTGTTGGGTGCTGGTGACAATGGGGTTAAAGAGACCATTGACGGCAACGATGATGAAGACAATGATGGTCGTAATGATGATGACACTTACCTGCAAACCCAGCCTTAGGATGTGGGAGTGGAGATGAAGGAACTCTTGAAGTCAGTGGCCAGCCAGGCTAACTGAATCAATGAGCTCGAGATCAGTGAGAAACCCTGTCCCGAAAATTAAGGTGGAGAACAACCAAGGAAGATGATGCCTGAAGTTGGCTGTGAGCCTCCACCTCACATACACATAGGTGCTCATTCGTCAGGATGCACACACCCAAACTCTCCCCCCCCCCCACTTGTGTGACTTCATTTTGTCCTTATTAGAATGCTCTAACTTCTACAAATACACATTGATTTGCATGCAAAATAGAGAAGCCATCTCTGTCATGCATTATTTTTTAAATGAAGGTAATACATGTAGTTAAAGTATGTAGCAAAATGCTTGGCTCAGGGACCAGAGCACAGTTTTCTCTCTCTGAATCCAAACCTTCCTCGCCATCTTCTTCTCTTTTCTTCTCAGCCTTCCCCCCCCCCTCCTCTCTATTAACAACCTTTGTTTTATTAAATGATTTTAAGTTTCAGTCTCACAGGAAAACTGATGAAGGGCATAGAGACTTCTAACACACCTCTCTTCCCCTGTGTGCTTATTCCCTCTCTTGCCACTGACACCAGCCAGGGCTTTTTCGCCTAGTTATTACCCACAGGGCACGGTGTGGTTTGACCTTGTTTTTTTTTTTTTTTTTCGCCATCTATGATGTGCACAAATGTCTAACTTGACGCAGCATAATCACCATGGAAACATACTGAGTACTTTGATTGACCCAAATCCCATGTTTTCAAGTCCTAATCCATGGCAACTACTCTTCTTGCTGTCTCGATCGTTTTCTTTTTCCAGAAATGTCAGAAAGTTGAAATAATACAATATCTCAGTTTTAGCCCTCTCTCACCATCTTCTTCCACTTAGGGATGTATGTGTGACTTCCTGTCAATGTTTTCCTGGCTTGGTACTTCACCTACTTTCTGAGTCTGTGTAATAGTCCATATGTCAATGTACCACAGTTAATTTTTCCATTCATTTCCAGAATACTATGTTGTATGATGTTTTACTCTTCTGGCTTTTCAGAGGGTCCACCACCTAGCTCCCAAATAAATCACACAAAGGCTTATTATTACTTATGAATTCCTGGCCATAGCGTAGTTTGTTTCTAACCAGTTTTTCTTATCTTAAATTATCCCCACTATCTTTTTTTTCTGGGCTTTTACGTTTCTTACTTCTGTATCTTATTTTCCTTCTTACTCGTGGCTGGCTGGGTATCTGGGTACCTGGCCCCCAGTTTCCTCTTCTCTTCCTTCTCTTGTTCCTCTTTCTGCTTCTATTTATATCCTCTCTGCCTGTCAGCCCCGCCTATCCTTGCTCCTGCCTCGCTATTGGCCGTTCATCTCTTTAGTAAGACCATCAGGTGTGTTAGACAGGCGCAGTAACACAGTTTCACAGAGTTAAACAAATGCAGCGTGAACAAAAGTCACACACCTGAAAATAATATTCCCCAACAATGGTGTCTTCGCTTGCTTCCAAGCTGGGAAATTATGAGTAGAGCTGCTACAAGCATCAGTTGAGAGGAGATGCAGACCGTCAGTTTTGCTCGCTGAGCCCCGTTGACTTTCCAGTCTTGCATTACTTTGTGCTCGGCACTGCCTGCCTGCCTCTAGGTGGCCAGTGAATGACCTCAGGTGGTATCACACTGTTCAGAGCATCGCTGGGTAGAGTTAGCTTCAGGACAAGGTCCAATGCCCTGGGAATCTAATCCTACTAAAGAACCAAGGCGTGTGAGGATGTCTAGATTTCCATCTAGACATCAACCAGCTGGTATGATTTATCTAAAATTTTTGGAGAATTCTAACAGGTTTTTGCTTCAGTAATAAAATAACATTTTATCCTTTGAGTTACTTTTGTACTGGGACCCTTGGTGCGGGAGAATTGTCTGTACTCTGTCAATCATGTTTTAAATAAATGCTGATTGGCCAGGCAGGAAGTATAGGCTGGTCAACCAGATAGGAAGTAGAGGCGGGGCGATGAGAACAGGAGTTTTCTGGGAAGAAGGAAGCGCCCTTGGGAGTCCTGCCCAGACACCGAAGAAGCAGAATGTGACCTACCCTGCTGAAAAAGGTACGGAGCCATGTGGCTAACATAGATAAGGATAATGGGTTAATATACGTTATAAGAGCTAATACAAAGCCTGAGCTAATGGACCAATCAGTTTATAACCTAATGTAGACCTCTCTGTGTAATTTCTTTGTGGTTAAATGGCTGAGGGAACTGGGCAGGACAGAAACCCCCAACAAAGTAGGCCCACGTGTTACAGACCCTAAGACTGGAAATAGAAGAGCAACCTCTGGACCCTTTCTGCTGGGGGACATTGGTGTTTTTCACTTACTGTAAAGAAATGAAAAGCACTTCCTGCTCTGGGTGTTTGGTAGCAATAGTGTCTCTCTCGGCTCCAGTGTGGACAGGGCAGCTTGATGGCTTGCCATGGCTGAACATCGGTGATAATCAGGCCAGGCATTGTCTCCCTGGTAGGGGTCAGGGGAAGGTGGCCTATAGCAGTAATGATGCACCCCATGGCCTGGGCCATAGAGGTACACCACAGTGTGGGTAAGCACCAGCCAGGATCCAGCATTTGCTAGAATGGCGATATTCTATCTGCATTACTTTGCCCCTTAAAGTTCCTAGTCACCGTCTGCAAATGCTACGGAGCTCATGCTTAACAGTTTTCATTACAGGGAATAGGTCTGGAGCTTCCAGAAGAGAACTCTGACTCGACCCAAGGGGTGGAGGCTGCAGATCAGACCCAGTTTACAACAAGTCTCACAGACACAAAGCCTGGTCCAGGCTCCCTGATTTATGCATGAAAAGAACTAGAGAGATTGTCTGGGGGTGTCTGGTGTGGGAGGGATGGGTATGCATTCAGAGGGGTCACAGGCTGGCTGGTGTGACTTTTTTTTTTTTCTTACAGGGAAGGAAAGCGGGTGGAGGAAAGAAGAAATCGCAGCACGTGTTTTGCCTTCACCTCATTCTCCTCTGGCTTCTCAATCTGCCATTCTCTGTGCACCTGGATAAAGCTACAGATTCAGATAACTCTCTCTTCTCCTCCTGACCTTTATTATGGCTGCGAAATTCTCTGCGCAAGGGATAAATAATGCATGCTTTCAGTCAAGAGAGGCAAAAACTCAAGCAAACACTGCAGCAATGAAGGAGCAGCATCTCTGTTTCCGCAGTATGTTTTATTTCCAGGCCACTTCTCGCTACCTTTGCTCCCACCCCTGCCAGTCGGGGCAGGAAAACCCAGAAGCAGGGGGTTAGCAGAGCACAGGGTTGGAGCTCCAGCTTGCACTGAAAACTGCCTGCAGAGTCGAAGAGTTGGCTCTGTCAGTCAAGTGCAAGTCTCAGAAACAGGGAGATCTGAGTTATCGCCCCCAGCATCCTTGGAAAAGGTCGAGCACACAGGAGCTGTGGTAACAGTCCCAGCACTTGGGAGGTAGAGAGAGGATGATCCCTAGGGCTTGCTGGTCCAGGCTAGCCAAATCAGCAAACTCCAGGTTTAGCATGAGACCCTACGTTAGGGCAGAAAGGCAAAGAGAAATAAAGACATCCCCCTGACCTGCGCATGCATGCACACACAGGTGCATATACACATGAGCATTGCCCCCCTCACCCCTCCCCCACACAGAGCGGTGATGCTTACAGGTTAGATTGTCAGTAATGTGATCTTGGTCATATTCTCTCTCCCCTCCCCTCTCAGGCCTTCACTGCAGAACACAGGTACATCCTGGCAAGTCTTTACCCAAAGTGTGGCAAGGCCAGTTCGTGGACATAGACAATGTTCTAACTATATTGTGGGAACAAACAGAAAGGAAAAGGGAGGTTTATCCTGCTCAGTCATTCTGGCTCCCGATATCAGTGGACCAGGGGCAGGGGGTGGCGTTTCTTCCCTGTGGGTCTAGCCTTACCTCTGAGCTAAGGCTTGACTTTGGATCCTCTAGGCTGGCTTCTGTAGCAGCATGGGAAGCAAAAGCCTACGGGGTCACCTGTGGGGTGGGAGGCTTGCCAAATCAGAGCCCATGGCTCCTTGCAGTTAGAGCAGGGCTGGACAAAGGTGTGTAGCCTTGGGGAGGAAGGCACAGCCTTGAATGCCAAGTTCAGCGTTTAAATCAGAATCAACTTCTGTACTGTTTGCACGGGCGCCTGTTCTATTTCTTATTTATACCTGTACTTCACTGAGGTATGAGGGACGATGACTGTTTTCTGGCTGATGATTTAAATAAGGACCCAGGTACTTCACCCTCAAATGTTTGGATTAGAAAATGAGATAGAAAAGAAGATGATTGTAGAGCAAAGATGCCAGCTTGGCTCCTGTGTCTGTGGGAGGAAGTCGGAGGCAGTAACAGAAATGAAGTTTGGGGAGTGTTTTCTCATTTACACATTGTCTCAGACTCCCCAATTACACACCTAATTAAGAGTTGGACAATTAAACGCACAGTTTAAATGTATGCTCAGGGAGTTTGGGATTAACACCCAGATCAGGGAAGAGGCACATCTGAGCCTTGGAAGGAAATGTGGGAAGACTGTTCCCAGGTGGGATCTTTCAGCACTCAAGTCTGGCTGCTTTTCTATGGATAGCCGTTTCCTTCTAGAAGTTTCTTCCAGTAACCCACATCTCACTGTCTCTAGAAACACTAAATGTCATAAATGGAAGAGTAAGAAGAGAGAGTGCAAGAAAGGAGCCAGCTGCTCACCATCGGTCCAGGGCTGGCCAGGCCTGGAAGTGCCCAGTTTTTCTTCTCTCTCTATCCCGACATCTGTTCTTTTGTTGATCTCATCCTGGGAAGCCCTGAGGATTGTTGGTGCTTGTGTGTACTTGCTCACTTAAGAAGGTGCACATGCGCAGGCAGGTCAACGCTGGATGTTTTCCTCAGTCACTGCTTACTTCTGGAGAGAGGTCTCTGTTGCAGTCAGTTCGACTCAGTTGGCTGGCCAATGAGCTCCAGGGGTTGATCTGCCTCGACCTCCCTAGAGCTGGGATTATAGGCATGCGAAGAGGCCAGGCTTCTTATGTAGATGCCGCGAATCCTAAATCAGATCCTCATGTGTGCTTAGGAGGCACCTTACAGACTGAACTATCTCTCCAGCTCCAAGGGACATTGTTACTCAGACATATCAGACACTGGTTACAGCCCTCTGCCCTTTGGCCTGTGGGAAGATGATTGGCAGATGTGTGTCTGGCTCATTAAAACCAGACTTTACTACATGACTTTACTACAGATAGTAAATGGATCTCTATAATCCCTGAAATTTTTTTCTTTTGCTCTTGTCTCACCAGGTGTTTCAAAATTGCTAGCTCACAAACAAATGGGATGAGAGGGGAACCAAGTTGCTCCGTGTAAAGAACCTGTGGCAGAGCCAGGTGAAAATGAGGTAACCTATTGGCCAGGCTGAGGAAATTGAAAGCCTCTAGGTTTTTTCATCAGAACCAGGAAAATTCTTGACTTCAGATGCAAAGGGTAGTTGGAAAACGTGCTCAGGAGTCACCCAGAGAAAGCTGCTTGATCAGCTTCTCTCATACTTGCTTCTGATTAGCTGTATCCTTGCCATCTCCATGGCAACCCAGGAGCTTCATGGGTTTCATGGAACCATTGCTTGGGGAAATATGGGGGAACCAGATGGGCTAGGTAGGTGCAGAGACTGGGATGTACAACTCTTCAGAGTTTTATCTTTAGCCAAGGTTGTAACCGACTCTCCCCCAAAGTGGATGCAGCAGTGTAAAGAACAGCTGTTCCCCTGATGGCCTCCAGGCTGTGGGTACCAGTCCCGAGTCACAGGAATTCATGTGTCAAAGAGATCTACACCAAATGGACTATGTGTGTCTCTGCTTCCTCCTATAACCTTGTGGAGCCACAGGTCTCCTGGTCCTCCTGACTGGCCCTCTGTGAGTTTCTTCCCCAAGGCACCAACAGAGGACAGGCTGGGCGCCAGAGTCAGTGACAAATTATACTTTACTTTGCTGCTGGCTGATGCTGAAGGGAAGGAGCACTCGGTACGCATGCTCAGAGCCATGTCTACTTTCTTGCTCTGTGGTTTTGGCCTTCAGTTGCTTTGTCAGCAAAGTAAAGGCAGCGCTATGACCTCTGGATTTGTTGTTTTTCCTCATTGCCAATGAAAATGCCCGACAAAAACAGCATACAGAAAAAAGACTTTATTGTAGCTGTCTATCATGGTTTGGAAGGGTTGGTGCAGGAGCATGAGGCTGATGGTTATATTACATATACAGTAGAGCTGCAGACAGGAAGTCCAGACCTGCTGTGGGAACTTCAAGGCCCGCCCTCAGTGAACCACTTCCTCCAGCCAGGCTCTATCTCCTAAATGTTCTACAATCTTTCAAAACAGCACATCCAACTAGGGACCAAGTGTTCAAACACAGGAACCTATGTGAGGCATTTCACATTAAAACCACAGGAACTGTCTTCACTGGGCTGTCTTGGGGAATAAATGGGTGGCTGGATGGGGAACCCGTGTGTAGATAGCCGGATTGGTACCTGTTTTCCTGCCAAGGTTGCTAAGATTCTTGCCCTCCTCAGTCATTAGGCATGATGCTCCCTGAAGGGAGAATCCAGGTTTGCCTAGCATCAAATCCCACAGTGCTCAGCATGGGGCCTGTAAGGGGCCTTGTCTCCCTGAGTGCAGAGGGAATAGATTCTGCATGCATGATGTTTTTCCTTCGAAATAAATATGTGAACTCCCTGCCCTTCCTGCTTACTACATCATGGCTAATCACTGCTAGAGATGAAGGCTTTGGGGACTTAATGATTTTTGAAAACTGTATGCAAGGTTAAATTATGAGTCAAGCCAAGAGTAGAAACTGCTGGAAGCAATTTCCTCATATGTTAACTGTTGCTCGGCCCTGGCCACTGTCCTTATATGAATCCCAGTCCAGTCATGGCCACATCCCTGCCACTGCTCCCTGGAAAGGAAACCAAAGCATGCAGCACAGTTTCAGTGGAAAGGCCTTAGACCTGGTGTCAATGGGAATTGACTAGAAAGTGTGTGTGTGTGTGTGGGGGGGTGTTTGTCCTTGACCTGCGATGCCTTCACACCCCAAATTCTGCCATAGTTCACAATGAATGTATGAGGGATGGAGAAGGGGACTAATTTTGAAATCTACACTGCTACTACTTAGTGCCTGAGCTTTATTTTCCCCTGAGTGAGGAACAGCAGCTCCTAATGGGGTAATGGAGTGGAGGTAGGTGTGTGTGTGTGTATGCGTGTGCGTGTGCGTGTGCGTGTGTGTGTGTGTGTGTGTGTGTGTGAGAGGGAGGGGTAGATTAAAACTGTCTTTGTCTGCTCAGGGTTGCCAGGCCCTTCATATGTCCTCTTGGCCATCTTCTCAGGTGTTTGAGGTTCCTCGGTTCCTCCAAACATTCCAAAACAGGGGATATCTAGTTAAGCAGAGTAAGTCCCGGTGTACCTGGGGAGAGGCATGGGTGGGGCCTCTTTCCTAGAGTATGAGCTTCTACAGGGCAGGCATTCTGCTTGCTTTGCATCATAGTTCTAATAACTAAGTTTGAGACACAGCTGCAGCATTCAGGAACATCCTCCAAGTGTCTCTGGGAAGGACAAGTGAGCTGTACTGGACCGGAACCTCTTTAGGGTGTTGTCCCTGTTCTCCCACACGGAGGTGGTGACAGGGCTTTGTGTACTCCTGGGAGGCTTTGGATGCTTGCAGGAGCTGTTGTTCTCTCTACTATGCAGGGCCTGGATCCACAACCTGCAAAGGGATCCTGTAAATCCACAAGGCAGAAAGTGGACAAGAGGACCACCATGACCCCAGAGATGTGAGTTGAGCTGACTAGCAGAGTGCAGGGTGGCAAAGTCACCGGAGCTCATGGATAGGAAAGAAGAGGTCAAGTCAGCTACTGTGTGATGGAGAGTGTCCTGTCAGTCCCTGGATCCTCTCACATTCTGAACAGAGCTAGGGACTATGTCTGAGCAAACTTACTGGTGTTCTTGGGGAACCTTGCCCCCTGAAATGATCTTAGCAGCCCTGGTCCAGCCGAGGTTCTGCAGTCATGCCCCTGACTGCACACTTCCGAGAGACCATTCTTCAACTGCGGCCTCTGGTGGTGACGAGGAGTGTTGCGCTAGAGTGGCTGGGAGGCCCTTGGGTAAGCAGTGAGGATGGACAGAAAGAAAACTAAATTAAGGTCAAGAATGGAGGGGATCCTGGGAGTTGTGCTAATTAGGACGAAAGTCTTTAGTGTTTCATTCAATAGTAACAAAATACATAGCCACAATGACATCTTTAATTAATAAAATGGCTCACACCAGTTACAAAACGTACCTAGTAGAGAACACCAAGCCATGCAGTCAACCATCAGTGCACATTGTTGAATGAAGAGGACAGATGTCTGGGGGAGGGAACAGAACCAAGGCTTCCAACCCCTGCACTCTGATGGAAAACTGGCATGTTAGGCGAATATTTCTCTCAAGTTTGTGAATACCCTTAGCTTTTTTTTTTTTTCTGTACACGATCCCTTCAAGGATCCATCTATCTCCAAGAGCAAAATAGAAACATCATTTGAAGCCAGAGCTGATTTCCACACCCAGACTGGCCCCTCCCCGGGTCAGATGGGCGCCTTCCTTAAGTAGAGGAGTTCATGGACGCTTTGGCCGCGACTCCTGCCGGGAACATGGTGGAGGTGAGAGTGGGCACACTGGAACGGAGCTAAAAGAGGCCTTCACAAAGGGATGCATTCTGATTTTCTTCAGAGAGTTGGTGTGGTAGTGATGGGAGATGGTACGGAGCCATGCCAGCGATACCTATAGGCGCAGTGAGATAGGACCGCCTGCTACTGAGGTGGGAAGGGGATAAAGAAAAACAAGTCAAAGACAAGGATCGGGAGACAGAAAGGGGGAGAGATGGCTGGTAGGGTGGGGGAAGAAGGGAGGACAAATGGATGTATTATTTTTGCTGAAATATGAGATGCACATGGTGATTTTGCAAGGAGCTCTGCCAAAAATCACACGAGGTTAATTATTTTGACCTCCATTTCCGGCTCGCACACTTGACGGAGGGCATCTTCAACTGGCGATGACACCACTGCCCTCAATAACATGTGCGCATCGACTAATGATCTCTCCGGAGCGCAGCTGTAGCTCCGAAGCAAGCAGGCTTCGCCGCCGCAAAGGCCCCGGAGTAATTGCTGGCAGCTCCTCGTCCACTTAGGCAAGAAACACGAAGAATGCTGCTGTTGTGCTTTATTGTTTTCAAGGGCCCGTGGCTCCCCTCGGAGCATCAGAAAATATGTGACCGTTGGCAGCTGGTTCGTGTAGAGTCCCCGGTCCCACTGAGCCTCGAGGACTGTGACTATCTTGTGCACCTGTTGCCCACAGGGCCTGGAACAGCGAAAAACAAATAGACAAATAAAACAAAAAAACCAAAACAACAAGAACAAAAAACATGGGGATGTTAGAATGGAAGAGATGATGCATGCCACACGCCATAACTCCGTGGCTTTGAAGGTACTGGTTTCCTGTCTTCGCTTTGAGCCTGTCTGATATATAAAGCTAGTTTTTCCAGATGCAAGCCTGCTTGTTCCCTGTCCTCAGTGAGCTTGTTCATAAACCAATTCTGAAGGCTGACACTGTAGGCCTGACCTGGTCGTTGTTTTAAAGGTGTCTGATTCTGATGAATGTTTCTGGGTAAATGGGGACAGTTTGGGGTACATCTGGAGGCACAAATAGGGTTTGCGTTCAGCCCCAATCACTAATTCAACAAATCTTGCTTGTATTTCCATGTAACCTAGGCTGTTTCTACTGGCGAGTGTGAGCCAGAGCGGGAAGATGAAAGGACCTGGGGTTTTGCCCTAAGAAGAGGAAGATCACAATTCCTGCCCACCTTCACCCATTTCCTGTTCAGAGAAGCAAGTCCCTTCCATCTTCTCCATGTCCCTGGTCACTGCATCACACTTAGCTATGGTCCTGACAGGTGTGGATTTCTGAGAGCCAGGACAATCACCTGCTATCGCCTAACTCTGGGAATTCCATGGAAACCACAAGCCATGATCCTCGGCTCTCAGGGGAGGGTCACAAGATCTGTGGGATTGTTCTCTTCCAGAGAAAATGGGTGAGAAACAGCGGGAGCCCAGGGAGCTGACAATGGCTGAAGTGTAGCTCCTCTAGGAAGAGGTGGAGCCTTTCTGAATAATGTTGACACAATTTTTTGAGTAGTTTATCCGCATTTGTCCGCGGAGGTACACATACTTGCACATGAGTGTGGAAGCCACAGGACAACCCTGGGGTCTTAGTAATCTTGCTTTCTGAGACTCCGCACCAAGTAGGCTAGGCTGGCTGGCCAGAGTCCCCAGGGTGATGTGGGATTCCCCCTCTGTATGTTGTGAATATCATTGGTCAATAAAGAAACTGCTTTGGACTTATAGCAAGCTATAGGGGAACAGAGCTGGGGGTGGGGGGAGCTAAAGGGAAGGTGGGAGGAAGGAGGCGGAGCCAGAGAGATGCCATGGAGCCACAGGAGACAGACACGGGTCCGTCAGAACTTTAGCCGGTAAGCCTTGTGTTGATATATAGATTAATAGAAATGGGTTAAATTAATATGTAAGATTTAGCCAATAAGAAGCTAGAGCTAATGGGCCAAACAGTGATTTAATTAATACAGTTTCTTTGTGATTATTTCGGGTCTAAGCTAGTCAGGCAGCCAGGAACCAACAAACAACCTCCCCTACTACACCAGGGTCTGCTTCTGCCTCCCAGTGCTGGGCTTAGGAGCACACTCCAGCACACTCCAAACCGTGCATTCGTTCGTTTATTATTTTAGTGTGCCTTCTAGAAATTGAACTCGGGTCCTCAGGTCTGTAAACATGTTGCCTACTGAGATGGCACCAGCTGCAGGGGACATTCCCACACAGCAGGACGAGCACAGAATCAGCACTTTGTAAACCCCGGAAGACCTCCAATGCTTAGAAAAGTGTAAACGCTCAGGGTAACATTTCCACCCATCTCTGGGGTGGGGGGAGCTCCCAAAACCACCTGTGAGTTTCTTTTGCTCCCAGGGCCCTTAGGTGCACCTAGGTTCATGAATATTTAAATTTCCCTGCTCATTTGTCCCCCAAGTTTGACTAACTAAACTCTTCCTGGTTTTGCATGGCAATGAGACAGGGAGCGCTGGGTCAGGTGGGCGGGAAGATCACAGGTGGGAGCTCTTATCAGTGGGGTCTCCTGACAACAGTAGGGATTATAAATCACCAAGTGTTTTTAATCCCAGGCTGATTTTAACCTTGCTCTGTGGCCAAAGATGACCTTAAACTTCTGATCCTCCCGCCTCCAGTCCTGGAGTGCTGGGATTACCTGTGTGTGGCACCACACCAGTTTATGTGGTGCTGGGGTTAGAACCTTGGGCTTTATGGATGTTGGGCAAGCCATCTTTAGACTGAGCTATATCCCCAGCTACCAAACATTGCTTAGCTTGTCCTTGGTGCTTTGTGCATGTCAATGCATTGTACCTCTCCTGTCTGCGCTTTGAGGTCAGGACAGCTGCCCTCGGCTTTCACAGGTGAGCAAATGAAGGCGTAGTCGAGATAAACAGCAAGCTTCACAGAACCAAGCGGGTTCAGGATTTGCACTATCTCACACCCTTGCTCTAGCTCTCTCTCCTATAAACACCCGAGGGCCCGGAAGGCACAGGGTGCAGAGTGACCCAGTGTCCCTTGAGTGGAGCTTATCCCCACAGCAGATGAGCCATGTGTTTATTTCTCCTCTTTAAACCTGTATCAGTGTATTTGACGGGGTTCTATAAGGGAACATAGTGGATCGGATGGATATCTGGATCTCTAAATGCATATATTTAGAGGGATTGATTAGAGAGGCTTACAGGCTGGCGTCCAGGTAGTTCAACAACAGCTGTCTCACAAGGAAAAGGCCAATGACTGTGTAGCTGGTCAATCCATCCGACTAGACGTTCCGGCAGTCCCAATCTGCTACTGGAGTCCTGGAGGACTCTTAAAGAGCTGTTGGCCTCCAGGCTCCATTGGAGCCCTGAAGAAGTAGTTTCTAATACCCGCAAAGGAACGAATGCCTCTGCAACAGGGTAGAGGAACTTGCCAATGAGAGCGAGGGCAAGCAGGCAAAAAGCAAACTTCCTTCTTCCCTGTCCTTTTATGCAGGCTGCCACCAGAAGGTGTGGCCCAGATTTAGGGTGGGTCTTTCCACCTCAAATGATCAATCAAGAAAATCCCCAAGAAAACAGGCATGCCAACCGCTTGGGGATTAGTTAATTGCCTATGTGGTCAAATTGAGAACCGAGATTAACCAATACAGACTTCTTTCAGAAAAATGCACAGAATAAACCACATTGCGTTGTATGTGATTGGTCTCCAGTGTAGACTAATCCACTTATGTCTGCGAGGTCTATCAACATGGAGGACCCTAGAGATCATTTAGACAGCACAAAGGCCACAGAATCCACAAGTACACACAAGTACATACTGTGTCCTCCTCATAGGACAGCATGCCCTGTCCCTTTAAGGGACACGGTGAATGTTGTGTTTTTAGCCTCCTCGTGTTTTCCCAGCAAAGTTAATGAGATGTAGCTGGTGCTCTGCCTGCCCCTCCCTCCTGTCTCTCACACAGCCGGGCTGGCAAGTCCACGTGCTCGCCTTTGATCTATTTTTATACCACCACATAATAGTTCATCCTCCTAAATATATCCATCATCCTGGATTTGCATTTTTTTATTAAGTCGCCTTCCTGCCTCCCATCAGTTAATCAGTGTTGACGCGACTCAGGGAGCAGCCTGACAAGATGGGGATCCAAGTCTGGCCTCTGGCAGCTTGCCTGCTCTGTGGCTTGGGGCGATCATCTCTTATCAGCCTCGGTCTCAGTCTGCTCATTTGTTAACTGGAGGCGGGACGTGCAGGGAAAGATGGCTGTGTGACTCATGAGGGCATTGTCAGGGATTGCTACTGGTGAGGGTCCATCTCTCTGTGGGGTGTACATATGTAAATGTGTGTGGAGGTCAGAGGTCAGCCTTAGATGATATCATTCCTCAGGAGCCATCCACCTTAGATTTTTTAAGGCAGGTTTCTCTTTGGCCTAGAACTTGCCAGTGCCACTAAGCTGGATGGCCAAGGAGTCCTAGGGAACCCACCTCCTTATGTCTGCCAAGCTCTGGGATTATAAGCTCTTGCCATCATGCCAAGCTTTTAATGTGTGTTCTGGGGGCTAGAACTCTGGTCCTCAAGCTGCCATGATGAGCACTTTACCAACTGAACTGTCTCCCCAGCTCAGTACCTGTGGACTCACTGAGCTTCCGGGGGCAAGAGGAGCATAGCAAGTTTGTATACCATGAAACAGACTGACCCTGCCCAGGCCTTCCAAGGTTAAGCCATGATTTAATCTAGCTGCACCTCAGTTAGAGAAGGGACAACCGTGTGCTATAGATAATAATTATGCCCTGGGTATGTAGGGGGTCATTTCCTCAATGGTTTCCAGATGGTGATGCGCTGCCTCCAGGGAACACTTTTTCCTTAGCATGACTTGGGCAGGGGACTATAAACACTATTGTCATCTGCAGCAGAAGAAGAATGGCGAGTCTTCTCACAATATACCCAGTATCCCCCCACCCCAGCATGTACTTAGCCACCCTAGACTATCAACAGAGCTGGGAAATTTCCACAAACGAACTTGGTATAGACATTTAACACAGTTTTTGACAGTTGAGTGTCAACCTTGAATGAAGCTGGGGATGTCTGGACACAATGACAGAACCCCTACTGTTACTCACAGCGCTGGGATGGAACAGCAGAGGGTCCTTTACCCCGAGTCTCCTCACTCTTGCTCATATACAGCTCTATCACACACCTGTGCTCAAGTGTTGTACTCTGGTTTGCATGCAAAGTGTTTGCCTGGCTCCTCTCTCGTCTCTCACTGTTTATTGTTGCGGTGACACCAGGGACATGCTCCATCATCCTCACTGAAATCAGCCCTATCACAGGATGGCTGGCACCTTGGTTTCCAAGTGTGGTCATGGGATGGTGGAAATACAGATGCAGGGGTCTGGCGTTCAAGGAGGGTAAGAGTGACAGGGTAATGAGGTCCAATCCCCTAGTCCAGGCTCCAACCCTCACAGAACACACTGGAAACCAAAGAGTGACGTCTCTGGGTCAGACCCTGTGAGAGTGGCTATTCTGAGGACCACTCGGCCATCCCTAAATATCTGCAAGGGCCTGTGGGCATCCTGTCACCCCTGGGTTTGTCTCAGGAGGAAACAGAAGTCCAACCAGATACAAATAGAAGCTAGACTAGGTTTTGAAGGCACATGGTGGGGAGCATTACCTCCTAGCAGAGCCCTATCTGCCTCAGTTACCCTTGGAGCTGACTGTGAGAGAAACCTTTGTTCGTATCCCCTGACACCCAGATGTACCTTGATTTCCGAATGTTTAAAGTCCACCACCGTCTGATCCCATGTTTGTATTGGATTCTAGCT